GGTTTACGAATATCTTCCTCTGTCCTGAACAGCTCCATCTTTAAAGTGGCCTGGACCACACAGAGGTCTCCTGACCTACTGTGTACAGGGAGTCTATGTCACACCACAGGGCCATGTGTTGGGGTTATTTACTGTCTTCCACTGTATGCAGCCATCATAGGGGATGGTGCCACTGTGTGCTAGAAAGAGTCAGGAGAATGTCTTCTCTTCCTCCTCCTCTTCTCCCAACAAAGTCTGACACCTTTCAGCAAAACTTGACATTCCTGCTTAGGTGGCCATGGTGGCTCCATGCAGTCGTCATTGCACATGACTTTATTAAACCTCATTTACTGACTCAAACCAGGAAGACCAAAGTGCTCTTGTGACCACCTGACATGTCTTCCTCCGCACAGAGTATGGAGGGCAGGAACTTCGAACTCCACCCAGCTGCCTGGGGCTTGGCCCCAGTGCTTTGATAAGGGGACAGTGACAGTGATGACAGTGCAGACAAGAGGTGGAGCTGCACAGGCACAACAGGCAGTTCCACACCTGGAGGGAGGAGTATGCACTCTGACCACTCCCTGCCCAGTGCTCTCCCAGAGTCAAGGCTGAGCAGAGCCCACCAGATACAGGACTACCTTGATTTCAGGCAATGTACCTTTCACAACACTCTCCTGAGAACACAAACAGGACAAAACCATTCTGCACAGTGAGTGTGAAGGTGAACATACCTTCAAGCCACTATCTCACCAGACCCATTTTGAAAGTAAGGAACCTAAGGTTCGGGCATGTTGAGCAACGTTTCCTTTGGCGCACAGCTGGACCAGCCATGCGGCAGCTCTTCAGGGAGAAGGTGAGTCTCCTGACTGCTGGTTCAAACTTCTTCCTCATATGGTTTGTCTCTCAAGGTTGGCCAAATGAGAGTGAGATATTTCATAAGACTTTTTTGTTGTTGTTAATTCTCACTGAAGAATAATTTTCCATTGATTTTTAGAGAGAGTAAAAGGGGAGAGAGATGGAGAGAAACATCGATGTGAGAGAAGCACATCGAATGGCTGCCTCCGCATGTGCCCCAACTAAGGCTAGGGATCAAGCCGGCAACCGAGGTAGGTGCCAGGAACAGAATCAAACCCGGGACTCTTCAGTCCGAGATTGTTAATTCTCACTGAAGAATAATTTTCCATTGATTTTTAGAGAGAGTAAAAGGGGAGAGAGATGGAGAGAAACATCGATGTGAGAGAAGCACATCGAATGGCTGCCTCCGCATGTGCCCCAACTAAGGCTAGGGATCAAGCCGGCAACCGAGGTAGGTGCCAGGACCAGAATCAAACCTGGGACTCTTCAGTCCGAGGGCTGATGCTCTATCCACTAAGCCAAACTGGCTAGGGTAAGACATCTTTTAAAGACACCTAGAAGCTGCAGGCAGCTCACAGATTATGCAAAATATAAGTAAATTCTGTACAGTGACTTAATGATTCCTAAGCACAAGCACAGTAAAGTCAGCTAACATGGCCCAATTGGGGAGACGGTAGGTCTTGTGACTAGCTCCCCTGACAAGTGGAACCAAAGTTGGGGAGATAGGGGAGGGGGACAAGGATGAGAGGGCACACACACAATGAAAACAGAGGGCTCTATTCCACCTCAGGCACCCCCTCAGTCCAACTGTCTGACAGGGCAGTAGCTTGGGGGAATTTCTGGGACCTATACCAGCTATCACCGCAGAGGGCCTCCCTCTCCCTGTCCGCCTGCTCAGACTCAGCCTAAAGCCCCAGATCCCAAAGCCAGGCACCTTTCCCATAGAGAAGCCCTGGGAGCTCATTAAGCACGGCCTTGCAGGACCTTGTTGCGAGGCCTGGTTGTGGTGTTTGCTGTGCCGAGGGGGGCACTGGTATCATCCCCTTTATAAGACAAAGAAATTGAGATGTGCTGGTTCATTCAGAGTTGAACTGCCAAACAGGGAAGGGTATGGGGGTCTCTGTCTCCTGGCCCATGTTCTCATGGATCTGTGAATTCTGGTTTTCAGTTTCAAACGCATTCTCGGGTCACTCTGGGAAGCATGGTAGGGCTGCAGGAACATTTGTTTTGGCATCAAGCAGAGCCATTGGTTTCTCATCTGCAGCTTACCTTCTGTTTAGGTTAAGCACATTATTTAAACAATAAACTTCAGTTTCTGCATCTACTTAAAAGTAAAGTAACTGAGATGCAAGATGCCTGGCACATCCCTAAGATTCCCTAAGTCTTAGCCACTTTTTCTTTATCAATTCAAAAAGAATTCAAAATTATACTAGAAAAATTTATTTTTCATTGACGTTGACAAGAGTCTGTTTTTATAAAGAAAACATAGTTGTGTGGACAGAAGCAAAACAAGGAGGACTTCCCTTTCACCAGTCTTCTCCAAACTCACTGCAAGGTTCTCACGACTGAAAACTGGCAAGAGCAATAAGTAATCAACCAAAGGGACCTCCAATGACTAGACTGTGATTATTTCTTAAGCGTTAACAGGAATTATATTTTTCTGAAGAGAAATACAAGAAAAATGCCAGTACAGGAAGTTCTCAACATCATTGATAGATTTTGTGACGTTAAGTGAAATTTTACCATAGTCTTATTGATATAAACAAAAGTTAGCATCCTAGGGCAGTGGTCGGCAAACTCATTAGTCAACAGAGCCAAATATTAACAGTACAACGACTGAAATTCCTTTTGAGAGCCAAATTTTTTAAACTTAAACTATATAGGTAGGTACACTGTTATTAACTTAACTAGGGTACTCCTAAGGCTTAGGAAGAGCCACACTCAAGGGGCCAAAGAGCCGCAGTTTGCCGACCACGGCCCTAGGGCATCTCACCACCATTTTAACAAGGACAGAATTCAAGAACCTTCTACACTGTTCATTTCCTTTATGGTCTATATGCTCACCACCCCAATTGGAGATTTCCATATTCCGTAAGACAAATGCTACTCTAAGAATGGTTTTCAAAGGTTAGCAGCATGTTGTCACATGACCTTCTTTTCTGGCTGTTAATGGAGGCCCAAGGAGCAGAGCTTGCCCTGAGGCATAAGGAGGGGATGTCCTGCGGCCTGGGTGTGGAGAAGTGAAGTGGATCCAAAGGATCCTGGTAGCCCCAGCTCAAGCACAGTCAAGAGGGGCTAAAGGCCAGATGCTGGCTGAGTTCTGTGAAGAAAAGGAGATACACTTCCTACTCCTCTCCTAAAAGACACCATTATATATAGCTTAGCTTTATGATTTATTTAAAGAAACATTTGCTTGCTATCGTAGGAAAATACGTAAGTTACAAGCAGCACAAATTCTAACAAATTCCCATTTTACTAATGAAAAGTCGATTGCTGCTCCAAGCCACACATTGGGGACAGGAACTAAAAACAGAAGCACCAAGGAACTTGATTCAAGGCTAATCCAGGAAACCTTTTTGCAAGTCACACCCAACTATGCAAGTGATAGCAAACTTCCCCTAATTACCCGACTACTAGAAATATAACCAACCACTCAAGTTTTAGCATCTCACATAAAGGTAGTTATCTACAGGTGACCGGGCTTTCACACCAGCACCTCATCTCATCTTCACAGCCAGACTTTGAGAGAATGGAGCCCTCGGTGCTGTTCCTCATTTCACAGGTGAGGACACCTCTCTGATGGAAAAGCAGATTCAAGAGATCAAGTGAGCAGACCAAGGTCAGAGGGCCAGGGTGACAGGCAGCGAGCTCTGACTGGACTCCAGATTCAGGGAGACTGAAGCCACAAACTCTTGAAGGCACGCAAGGAGCTTAACTTAGACACACCTGTAACTAGGAATGAAAAACTATGGTTTACAAAACAAACGAAGTTAGTAGAACAACAACTTAATATTTTCCTAACCAATCAACAACTATCACACCCAAAATAAATTTATGAGGCAAGTTTTAGTTTCTGAAATGTACTAAACTACCTTATACCTACGTCTTTAAGAACGAATACTTACATCAAAATTCTTTACCAAAAAATGAGTAAGGCCATGATTTCAGTTGAGAATGAGATAGAAAAAGCAAGTTTAACGACACACATTTGGGTTCTCTGTTAGCTTCCAAAATATTTCCTTTTTAAAACTATCAGGACCAGCTAATAAATTTGAAGGACCATTCACCAAGGAGCTAAGTGGAAGTTTTTTCCATGCAAAACTCACTGGAAATTTACATTATATTTGCTATCTACAAAAGTGCTACAAATTTGGCCTGAAACAAAAGGGATGTTAAGAGCAAGTCACTTGTACAATTGAGGAAAAGCAGAACGCTGAAACAGAAAAGGATAAAAGAAGAAAATCATGGAGAACCAGCACATCAGAAACAAAACTGAAGACTCGTGGTTTTCTTCTTATTTTTGTAGGGACCCTCATAAAGCTGAAATCTTCTCAATCGCCTCAGAATACCTTGACAAACACTGTAGGCTGTTGTTCTTTTAAATCTGGCCACAAATGTTTTCACTACCTCCTACCCCAGGGGGGATTCTTTCCATGGCACCAAAACTCAAAGCATGTAAAAGTCATCGTCTTGATGCCCTTAATAACTTTTGAGCCTCGAATACTTGAAGTAGAGGATCAAGTGCCCAAGTCAGATCCTGGAATATTTTTGGCTTCTTATCAACCTCTCCCCAAATAAGTTTCAAAAGCCCGTTCCTTTGTTGTGTTTCCACCATCTGACAACTGCAAAGATGCTGCAGGGTTTTCTCTCTCCATTTCTAAACTACTGTCTGCTACACGAAATAGCCTCCATCGTCAATGATCCTTTGAGGGGGGGGAAAAACAACCTTCAAGAATCTATTGTACCTGCCCAAAGACAGGACACTTCCTGCCTTTAGCATGGATGAAGCACGGGGAGAAACAGCCCCTTGGGAGAAGAGGGGCACCTCTCCTCCAGAGTGCAACCCCAACTGCGAGACAAATGCAGGCGCGGGCTCAGGGGCTGCATGCAGTGCAGGCACGAAGGTGAGCACGGGGCACACCGAGAAGGGGCCGGGGTCCCCGTACCTTTTCCGCGAGGCCCCGAGCCGCCGGTGCTGCTGCTGCTCCCCCCGGCGCCCGACGAGTCCTTCCTGAGCCGCTTGCT